GCACAATTTTTTCTCACCATTTGAAGGTGTGAAAGCCTTGCAATCATTGCTTACATATTCAGCATTTGGGCATTTCAACTGCGAATGTGAACAAAAATGTGATATTTCATAAAAGATTCAATATGATCGGTTGTTAAATTGGTCTTTCATGCTTTTCAACCTGTAAAATATTCCGACCTACAGGTGCACCCTTAAATACAGCTAATTTTGCTGCAGTAATTGGTCACAGCTCTTGTATAATGGAAGGATCTTACACCATCTCCTGCAGTGCTACATGAATTCAAAACCATGACCAAGCTTTTGACATCAAGCCCTTTACACAGAATTAAAAGAGAATTAAATATTAAAATACTGTGTGTTCTTTCAGCATACTGCAAGGTGACCAAAAAGTTGTGATACCATTACAATGTCTAATATGTCTTAAAGAAATGATGATATATATTTTTAGATAATAGGGTAGTTATCATGACTTTTTGTCACCCTGTACACCATAGTCCAGTGACTGTTAAATAACTGAACTAGAGTTTGATGCTCTGTAATTGTCGAAAGAGGCACAACACATTCATGACAGATATAAAATATGTATTTGTATCAGATATGTGCATTTCAGATTTTGTATCTGATAAATTCAATTTCATATTCATATAAAAAAACACAGGTACTAAAGACACCTTCATATTTAATACAGATAAATTGAGTGGAAATAACAGAACCTTCAAATAACAGACTTCAAAAATAGCTAATAATTTAATAAAGCGCAGCTTGTTGCTGAATGGATGCTATTGTAAATAACCTACTGCAATTTTCAAGGCCCATATTAATCAAGGCTTGATTTGTTTCAATCATAAAAATATAAAGTTTGGAAAAGAAAATGCTATTTCACAGACTAAGCAACTTTCACACACAATTGCAAAACCTACCCCAATATCCCACTCGTGCTATCTCCTGGGGGAAAGTTCTGTATATACACTCCATGGAGCCCAAAGACAACCAAGCTAAAACTGGCAAAAATGCATCCAGCCCACATCCTTACTACTAAGATGTGGACTCTTTCCCCCATTCATAACATTGTACTTCCATCCCCACAGGAGCACAGAAATTGTTTCCTGGGGAGTATTTGTTCATCTCAGTCAACACCTATCCCTATTTCCTCCAACATGGTTTTCAAGCAGTTAATCAATGCAGCATAACCAGCTTTTGCTGAGAGTCTGTCACACTTATCTGTGATGCAGGAAACGCAAGACAACAATAACATTTATAATCTTATATCTGCACTATTACTGCAATAACAGGCAGATGAAACACAAACTCAATGTTTTTTTCCATCAATCTACTACTAGCACAACAGGTTGGACCTGTAGACAAGCTATGGCAGCTGCTATCAGTCTGAATTTCTAACACAATCATATAGATAAACAAAATCCTTTAGGGCTCCCTAAAATAATAATAATAATAATCCTTGCATTTGATATAGCGCTTTTCACGTCGGGAGGACGTCCCAAAGCGCTTCACAGAACACACTGTAAAGTGAATTGACTGTATATTTGTGGGCGAACGCAGCAGCCAATTGCGCACAGCAATGTCCCACAAACAGTCGTAGAATGAAAATGACCAATTTATTATTGTTTTTGGTTTTGGAGTGATTATTATTAGGCTCTGTGTGGAGTAAGGAAACTTGCCCAAGGTTTCGCCCTCTGCCTGGAATTGAACTCAGGTCTCTCGCCTGCAAAGTGAGTGCTCTAACCACTGAGCTACAGGACTCCAAATGGCTTCATTGGAACTGCAGTGTGAGAAATCGTATTGATATTGTTGCTTTATGTTTGTGAGAAGCTTCATATAAGTAACAGCAGCACATAAACATGACACTTTAAGTACTTGACAGTTTGTCACTGAGCCTCCTGTAAAGAAGAATCATTTACATGGTTGTTGGGATGTGTGTGGGTAGAGCAGTTCTTGTTAACACAGTAGTGAAAAACAGATGGCCAGAAGAACACAACATTTCATGGCAAATTTTGTGGAGTCCTGTAGCTCAGTGGTTAAACCACTCGCCTCGCAAGTGGGAGACCTGGGTTTGATTCCTCTGTTTATCTAGCAGGAAGTAGGAACCCAGTTAGTCGATTGGTAGATCGCTTTTCTGGGGGTAATAATTCCTTCAAAAAAATAATAATAATAAATCAGTCAATCAGTCCACAACTGTTTGTGGGACATTGCTGTGCGCAATTGATTGCCGCGTTTCGCCCACAAAATATACAGTCAATTCATTTTACAGTATATACTGTTAAATGCTTTGAGATGTCTCAAAGACGTAATAAGGCGCTATACCAAGGTGGGTACTGGGACGCATATGATCCGATTGAAATTTAATTTGGGTAAATACTTTTTAAATCTGAAGCGCTTTCATTTTCTGTATATTCACACTGATTTCCCATATGAAAAAGTGAGGCCACTGAGGTGAGTTACAGTGCACGTGCATGAGTTTCATAAGAGTCTGTGAGCTGCTCTTTAAAGTTGAGCTTCTGGGGAGAGAAAACAAGTATGACAAACTTTATATTTGTATAAAAATCATTGCTAATCTTTTTACAAGCTGAGTTAATGATTTCCAACTAATTAATATGCTGTCCGAAAAGTTGGGGGTTGAAAGTCAGATAAAAAAAAAGCTCACAGGCAGACATACTTGAAGGCTGACGCAGTGATGTAAGTAGTCAAGTCTTTATACCGTGATCTCAAATTCTAATTTCTCCGTTAAACGCTGATTCCAATCATTCTTCTGCTGTATTGAGGTCATTGATTTTCCAAATATCCATCACACATGAGAGTCAGAATATCTTCTTTAATTTTAGGAACTGTGTGTCCATTCTTCCCTTTCCCTCCATTAGTGCATTGGTTTTAAAAATTAATCTGGCAATCAATGATTCCACACCACATCACTCAATAAACTTGTCTTTCTGTCAGACTGCACTACAAACCTCTATTACTGACAGTGTGAAGTGCATTCAACTTTATTTGCACGATCCACATTCCATTGAGGTGGAAACTAAGTGTAACTAAAAGCGGTTTGTTAGAAACGATGAATTTCATTTTCCAGGGCAAATTAGAAATGTGAATTGTCGTATGAGCATTTATGTGCTAATTTGAATCTGCTTTCATCACATTAGGTTGGAGGGCTGGAAGAAAATAATTACAAACAACATCAAGTTAAAGCAGGTATTGTGGACAACAACAACAACAACAAGATTCCATTTATAAAGCGCCTTTCACGTCAGGAGGACGTCCCAAGGCGCTGCACAGTTGGGTCATGACCTGAGCAGGGGGGAAATGGTCAGGGTGAGGGGAGGGAGCGAGGAGGGGGGAAATGGTCAGGGTGAGGGGGGGATGGGAGGGAGCGAGAAGGGGGAAGAGAGTCGAGAGGGGAGCTGAAGGCTCGGTCAAAGAGAAAGGTTTTGAGACTGGCCTTGAAGGAGGAGAGGGAGGAAGCAAGGCGAAGGCACTGGGGGATAGAGTTCCAGAGCCTCGGGGCTGAGAGGCTGAAGGCCCGACCACCAATGGTAGGGCGATTGGGGCGGGGGACGTGGAGCAGACCGGAGCCGGAGGAACGGAGGGTACGGGCAGGTAGGTAGGGGGACAGTAGGTTGGAGAGGTAGGAGGGAGAAAGGCCGTGAATGGCCTTGTAGGTGAGGATGAGGATCTTGAAATCAATCCTCTGGGGGATGGGGAGCCAGTGGAGGCGAACGAGGGTGGGAGTGATGTGGTCCCGAAGCCTGGTGCGGGACAGTACACGAGCTGCAGAGTTCTGAATGACCTGCAGCTTGTGGAGGGAGGTGGCGGGAAGGCCGGCGAGGAGAGAGTTCCCATAGTCCAGCCTTGAGGTGACGAAGGCGTGGACCAGGGTTTCAGCAGCGTGAGGGGTGAGGTAATGGCGTAGTCTGGCGATGTTCCGGAGGTGATGGAAGGCGGTGCCAGTTGTGGTGCGGATGTGAGGGAGAAAGGACAGCTCAGGATCGAACAAAACAATCAAGATGAAAATAGTTTGTAGGAAAATTTTCAGGAAGGCAGTTCAGGACCTTTGCCTTATCAAGGTTAATGCATTGTAAATTTTATTTATTCAAACATTTTCTTAGATTAGTAGCACAGTACCATTGCATCACTAAAGTGGTATAACTGTTATGATCAGAGGCCTAAGAACAAATTTACAACAATTCACATTATATAGCGTCTTTCAGGTCGGGAGAAAGTCTCAAAACATCGGGCAAGAAACATGAAGTAGACCAGTATTACAAGTAAACACATAAATCGTATTGCTGGGGACCATAACGTTTATTACAACTTAGGCAAAGTACGAGTTATGCATTAGTATTTGCCTGACAAAATTGGAGAATCCAGTACTTTTCCTGATAGATCTTTGTGACTAGTGTTTATTGCTTGCGGCCATGATAACGGATAACAAGTGAATGATCCATTGACTGTGTCACACAATGGTCCTGTGACACAGCGTCCGTGACCAGAGTTGCAATTTATCAATGTGACGCTAGCTTTGTGTTAGAACAAAACTCAATGTAATGCACAACCACGCATGAAGTGGAACAAAAATACAATGGGGAAAAAAACACTCGATTCAATCGATAATTTGATCGCTGACAGGGAACTGGATTAGGATCAGAAATTTTAAAATTAAGATTTTTGTGATTTTTTTCAGTAAAAAGTTCAAATTTCACAATTGCCTCCCTGGGCGTGACGTCATTTACCACACTGTAGTGTTTCAAACATAGCACTATACATGCAGTACTTCATCAATGCAGATGGTAGATGCGGTTGGATTTATACAAGTTAAGAGATGATATTGATTAGAATTTACGCTTTTTGGGATCAAAAAATTATTATGATTTAGCCAGATATCTGACTTGTAAAATCCAAGTTGCGCAAAGAAATCAAAATTGAACCCCTAAAATCTCAAATAAGCTTCAAAACACATATTTGCGAAAAAAAACAACTTAATACATTACCGTAAATATCTTGTTCTTATTGTTGAGTGTAGTTCTCCTCTGACATGCGTATTGAGATATGGCTGCCACTTTTGAGACTGGCACTGGGTCTGATTGTTCTGGACAAGTCGTTTGTGTCTAAGGAAAGAAATAGAAAAGAATCAATTACGTTGCTCAGGTCAGGTTAGGGTTCATGGGTTTCTGTCAAGACTGCTGTAACTATCTATTCTCTGTCAAATGAACATACATTCTATTGTTACCAGCAAATAATTGTAGGGTTAAGGTTCATTAACTCAACTAATGAGCACTTTTTGCTTGTGTGTTTTTGCTCAGCATACCAGTGAAAAGATTTGTGTAACACTTTCACTTAGCTATTAGTGTTTTAGCCTTCCAGAATTTAAGAGTCACCACAGTGACTGCATATAAAAGAGTAACAAACTCCAAAATGTGCATCTCTTATTTTGCAAATAATACAAGGTGAAAGAAGTAAATAACTGATAAATACTTTATAGAGGATTAATTTTCCAGGCAGCAGTGGGGGAGGAGGGCGGGTGCATGTAATGTCCAATCCTAGTGAGTTGAATATTGAATTTATTTTCCAAAAGATTTACTTGTAGACAGATGCCAAATCCTTGGTAATAATAGTGCTTCTTAAGGCCAATGGAAATATGCACCATTTTTTTTGGTCAGCTGGGTGTCTGACACATGCTTAAGAGTATCCAAACCAAGCTGAGGTTTCCATGCATCCCACCTACACATGAAAATCCCAGAGGTAGATTGTTGGAATGGAATATGCACTCTCTCTCTCTCTGGAGGGACACGTTCTGCTTACCTAATTCCGGAACGTATTAGGCACAAGTTGGCAAGAACCAAGGCTTGGGGCCCCCTGAGTGTGTGTTGGGGTACTGCTGGAGTCTAACCAGCTAAAACCACATAGCTTGCCATTGATATTGCATTCATGTTCATTGTCCAAAGCTATTAGGGCTTTGGTTTGCAGGGTTAACAGGAGCTGAGTGGGATGACTCCCTGCCCCCAGTGACTGGTCTGCCCTTCCAGGTCCTGCCGATGAGCCAGGCTGGCTGTGCTGTCATTAGCAGTGCCTTGGAGAACTGTGAACCCGCCTGGCTCAGGAATTAGACTACTGAGACTACCACAGAGGGCTGGCTCGAATCCAACATTACAATGTACCATGGTATAGGCTTTCTGTTAGTCAAGTGGGACTCGTATACTGACTAATGAGATCTTTAGGCTTGTTCTTAAAGTATCTAAATATTAGAACTATCAAGAGCCAAACCTGCAAATGGTCAAAAAAAATTATAAAAATAATCCAAGCCTTTTTACCACTTTTACCACCAATTACCACTTTTCACACCGGCAGGACATCTCAAAGCACTTCACAGGATTCACTGTGTAAAGTATATTAACTATGTATATGTATTGTATTTTTAGGGGCAATTTGTGCACAGCAATGTCCCACAAACAGCCATAAAGTGAAAGTACCAATTTTTATTCTTAATGCAATGAATATTTAAAAAAAATGTGAGTTTGATATATCATGCTCACATTTGGATTTTGGATTTTGTTTTTCATTATGGGGCAAAGTTCCACGGGGAAAGCTATCCACAACTCAGAATGTTGCTTGGATCAAGAATGCACTTATACTTAATTTATACTGTATGCATTTATACTGCTGTGCGCAATTGGCTGCCACGTTTCGCCCACAAATATACAGTCAATTCACACTACAGTATATTGTGTGAAGCGCTTTGAGATGGCTGGAAGACATGAAAAGCGCTATATCAAATACAAGGATTATTATTATTATCAATTATCAAAAGCCGGCTGTTTATGCATCTTTGGAAAGCCGAATGGTCTCTTTGGCGCTGTAACGTGCTGTGATTCTATACTGTTTGCAGAATTATTGATATTTCAAGGTTGGACATGTCTAAATAGCCGGGTCTATAAATGCTTGAGCTTCATTTCCTTTTGTGAGACATAGAGGTAGTTTTGCCAGTAATTCAATAGTAAATCTGCCGAATTATTGCTTTGTGATGCACAATTCCTGTAGTGATGTTGTAGTAATTTCCCTGGCAATAAATATCAGCCGCCAATCAAGTTAGAACCCAAATAATTAGTGTAATGATTGAGAAAGACAGGAATAAACTCTGACCTTTGTAAGCATTGTTTCTGCTGTCAGATAGAACTGCGAAACACAAGGGAGTCAGTGAAACCACAAAAATAATTACTTGAAAAGTCTCAACTAATGTTGCTTATTTTGGAGATTCCAGGGATGTGCAGAAGCAGGTTTTGAAACTCAAAACATTAATTGCTGAAAGTGTTAAAATTATTAGTATATCCTGCCTTAAAAATCAGACGTGATGAAGTGTAGGAATTGTAAATGAGTGTGAAAAGAGCTACAAAAAGCTGCCTGTAATAGTCAAGCCAGGAGTATTACAGGGGCATGGCCGTCATCACAACAATCTTTCATTTGTGTTTGTGGAGAAGATACCACTACTCATGGAGAACTGTAGCTCAGTGCACTCGCCTCTCAAGCGAGAGGACCTGGGTTCAATTCCCAGCAGGGCGAAATGTTGGGCAAGTTTCCCTACTCCACACACCTCTATTTACCTAGCAGTAAGTAGGAATCCGGTTGTTAGTCGATTGGCGGATAGCTTTTCCAGGGGTAATAACTCCTTCAAAATAAATAAAAATAATTTGGTCACGCAATCCCCGATTGCTTGTGGGACACTGCTGTGCGCAATTGGCTGCTGTGTTTTGCCCACAAAATGTACAGACAATTCACTTTACAGTATATTCTGTAAAGCACTTTGACATATCCCGAAGACGTGATAAGGCGCTATATCGAATGCAAGGATTATTATATCTGCATAGAAACAAAAGGAATCAAGTGTGTAAGGCCAGAAAAGACCATTGGAGTCTGTCTGGTTGGTCCTAAATAAAATTATCCTTGAAGGATCTTTTTCCTACTCCAACCACCTTTCCTCTCCATTTGTATGCAATAACGAATTCTGCATCAATTATTGCTATTTTATCGATGTGTCACGTGCTGCTGTGAGCAGTTGGAATTGTTTAGACAACTTTTAAATGAATTAAACAATCATCAGGAATTCATACTGAAAATTGCTATGAAAAATGGTACAGTTGTCAATACCTTTCATTAAGATCCTGAGTAACATAATAATAATCCTTGCTTTTGATGTACAATAGCAACAACAACAAAATTACATTTATAGAGCGTCTTTCACGTTGGGAGGATGTCCCAAAGCACTGAACAATCAGGTGTCGGGGCCCAAGCATGGGGGAGGGGTGGTGTAGGGATGAGGGAAGGCAGAGAGGTGGGAGGGAGACCGAAGACACGATCGAAGAGAAGAGTCTTGAAACCGGCCTTGAAGGAGGCAAGGGAGGAAGCGAGGCGGAGGGACCATGGGATGGAGTTCTAGAGTGTGGGGGCAGAGAGGCTGAAAGCCCGGCCACTGATGGTAGGGCGGGTCGGGAGGGAGACATGGAGCAGGCCAGAGCCCGATGAACGGAGGGAGCGGGCAGGTTGGTAGGGAGCCAGCAGGTCAGAGGTAGGAGGGAGCAAGGCCATGGAAGGCCTTAAAGGTGAGGACGAGGATCTTGAATTCAAACTCGATGTAGTGCCTTACCACGTCACTAGACGTCTCAAAGCGCTTCACGGAAAATATTGTAAAGTGGATTGACTGTATACTTGTGGGTAAAACGCCACAGCTAATTGATCAGGGCAATCGTGGGTAGAGTGACCAAATTTGAATAACTCTGAATTGGCTTGGCAATCAAATTGAAATTAAACTAGTTGCAAATGCAACCAAATTTCAAAACAAAATCAAGTTATTTTAAATAGTAATTCGATACAAACAGATCATCTATACATGGAAGATCCAAGCCCTGATTTCATAACAGCAAATCAAAGAAACACTAGCCAAAGGAATTTTTAGAGGTTCCAAACCCTATCATTATGAAAAAAATGTAATATCGAGCCGTTCATCACTCCCCGTTAATAACATTTAGAAGCTATACCAATTAATATCATGTTTCCAGATTTTATTACACCTGCTTAACTTATTCAACTGAAAAGTGATATTTTCTCCATCGTTTTATTAGATCTTTGCTGTAGTCGGAGAAATCTGTCAGCATATTTTTTCCGAGTGCCTCCTGCCTGCTTTCCATTACATTCAAAACATGGTATTGTTGTCTTGTGTTACAAGGCACCAGATGGTATGCACAGTGAGGCAGATTGGAGCTGATAGAAGTTGTCTGTAATATATTTTTAGCATTATGACAGCTTGTAAGCTACATGAAGCTGTCATCTCACTTAATTTTCAGGTGTGTTGATTGCAGAAAAAAATATCAGCAAGTTCTCCTGAAATTGCTGATTATGCTTCAGATTCTGCCCCTGGACTGTTTTCCAAATTGCCCCAGAAAAAAATATTACATTTTGGTTCAACTAGGCAGAAGCATCATACTTCGGTTTGTGAAAACTTGAAAGAAAATTATTTGAAAAGATTGTGTGCTACGGTTGATTCTCAGCAGTTACAGACTCTTAAATATGTGAGAAACATTCTACCGTATCAGGTAAGGGGCAGATCACTTGGTGAGCCAAGGATGCTATGTTCCACTGGATCAGGAACTTAGGGAGTGATATTTCACTCTGTCTGAAAAAGAAGCAACAGACGTGTCAAAAGGATGCTTCCCCTGTTTGCTGGTCCTCCTTATAGGTCAGAATAATAAAAGTGAAGCTGGATGAGTGCCAGACCAGAATGTTGTTTGTACGTTGCTACTGAATATTATATGATCTGTGAACTTAGATTCTATCTAGCCCTGTGAATGACAAAGCACAGTACAGTGCTATTCGTATTTGCAAAGTAGCTTCAGAATGTTCCACCTTTTTCGTTTCGACAATAAGAACAAATTAAATTTGTATACCCTCTTTCATGTCACGAGGATGTCCCGAGGCGCTGGACAGTCAGGTATCTGCACCCGAGCTGGTGGTTGGGGTGGAGGACAAAGAGGGTAGGTGTAGGAGGGTGACCCAAGGCACAGTCCAAGAGGAGGGTCTTGAGAAGCAACCTTGATGGACTAAATGGCTGATTCTTTAC